GCCAGGCAGGGACTGCACTTCAAGCTACGCGCAGCCATGGCGTCCCAGGCGAGGAGTTCTTGACTTCTTGAGCCTCCCCGTCCAACCTAGGGCATCCAAAAAGCATCATAAAGCAACATCTGAGCGAGGCTGCGCGGAGGCCTTTGTTGTTTTGGCAGGCACAAACACATCTTCCAGCGAACTCCCCAACGAGAAACATACTAACAGTTACAGGCAAGGAATCCACGGATCTGCGACCTTCTTTCGTGACCCTTCCTACCTTTTCCACATTGGGTCTGAGGAGGCACCAGACTTCGAAAATGCCCGCATCCAGGACATCTCAAGAGGAGCCCAAGTCACCCGGTTAGTGTCCTAGAACTTATAAATAGATGAATAAATACATACATACATACATACATGCATACATACATACATACATACATGCATACATACATACATACATACATGCATACATGCAAACACTTATTGTAGTATGTTACAGGTTATTTATGTTGAGTTATAGCACTGTTATAGCCAGAGCCAGTGTGATGCCGACTGCAGCCTGCCTCGTCGACGCTGATGCCTTGATCTGGTGCAGGTGGGAATCGGATCGTCCCGTCTACGGAGTCTACGGAGTCTGCGGGATCTCCTCGGGGCCACTTCACACCAGATCTCCGATTATCCCCACACCGGAATTCCTCCATGCCTTCTTCAAGCCACAGCCGCCAGGAGGACTTGTGTATGCCTCGAAACTCGATTTGTGAAACACCATGAGCATGCCGAACACAGACGCACAAACACACTTGCGATTCGTTCGTGTCACCGGTCCGCCCTAACGATTGAGCTGCGAGCTTCGCTACAGATCAGTATGGCGGCAGGTCCGCCGCCTTCATGGTACTCATGGCTCCAAACGCGGGCTGCAGCGCTGCGGGCTATGCAGCAAGTCCCTCCTTGAGCTTGTGAAAGGGACCGTCCCTTCCGACTTCCCCGTCGACACACAGGCCAAGAAGGGCAGCGTGCAAACAGCGGCCATGGCCCTCTGGAGCATTCGATGGCTTCGAGACGCGTGAGGACACGGGAAAGTTTTTGCCCCTTCAACTCTTGGCTGCGGTCTCTTGCTGTAACTGCTTCCCTGCTTTGCTCTGTGCTGTGCCGTGTCAGACACGAGACTAAAAGGACCTGAAGCTTGACCCTTCCATATGAGGCACGGTTGAGTGTTTACGGTCGTGCATGCCGCGCATGGTCGTGCTGCCCTGCGAGGCTTCGCTACAAGAAGCTCGCGTTTTCTCTGGGCGTTGCATATGGGGCGTAGAGAGACCATCTCAGATGGGCTGGAGGACCTGATCGGAATGGGGGATCCAACCATATTTGCCAGAACGGGTCTGCACGGAGCCGAAGACCACCTTGAGCTTCGGCTCCTTCTGCTCCTTCTGATCCTTGGGCTCCTTCTGGTCCTTCTCCTCCTCCAGCAGCTCTTCCTCCTCTTCCTTGAAGAGCTCCACGACGTCCCCCTCTAGCAAGGGCTCCTTGCTCTCGCTCTTCAGGTCCTTGGCTTCGAGGAGCGGGGCCCGGCGCTTGAGCGCGTAGGCGGGCAAGGGCACCGGGCGCAGGTGCGAAAGGGTCGCCCAGCCCTCCGAGCCATCCCGCGATCGGAGGCGAAGCCGCTCCCCCACCTGGAAAGAAGATAGAGGCGGCCTATATTTCTCTCTCGAATGGATGGGTAGTTGGTTATAGGCTTCACTTGAGAATGCCTGAGGTGGGGCGGATGGGGGATGGAATTTCGCGGGCACCTCATCGACCTCCTTGGGATCCGACTCAAGCGCTTCCAGGAATTCCCCGCTTTGCAGTTGGACTTTGGCATTGCCACCACTCACTTCGGCTTCCTCTGTCAGGCTCTGTCACTGTCAGCTCATTTAAATCATTACTTAGCAGCGACACAAGTCGAATCAAACGCTGAAAGCAGACATGGAAAGCGCGCAGTCCTCAGTGAAGGGCGTCTGCTGCGTGACCTTGTAGAAGGATCTAAGCAAGTGCTCGAAGGCAGAGAGTGACAAGGTCTCTGCATCTTCGGGGAGTGCCCGGTGGAAGACTTTGGATGCCAGCTCCGTATCCTCGGCTTCTGCTTTCCCGCAAAGCTCCAGAAAAGCTTTTTCGGTCATCTCAGAGTCCGAGTCGGAGCTGTCGGAGATGGAGTCAAAGAGCTGCTTGGCAGAGAAGCTCTGGCTCTTGGCGTAGGCTCTCAAAGCCTCAGAGAGCTTTCCCCTCGCAACTTCCATGGCGTCGTTCTCTTTCCGAGCCACCTTGGCTCGGAAGAGCTCCGTGAGCCTCTTGGCTCTCTCCAGGCGCTGCCCCGTGCGCCCCAGGCGCAGCGCCAGGCGCTTCTGGTGCGGGGCCATCAAATCCTCGAGCTCCGAGGCCTGAACCTGCTTGGAGTTCACGTCGTTACGAAAACTTTCTGGGAGCTGCTGCACTTTCTTCTGGAAGTCTTCTGCCTTTTCTTGACCCTTCTGGATCAAGGTCTCGCAGTGCTTGGACCGTGTCTGCATCTGGCCTGGGGGGCCCAAAGAAGATGTCTCGGTGAGCAGCGGCGCCACTGCCGCTTCCACCTCTTTCAAGGTGTCTTCAAGCTCAATTCCGGCGGAGGCCTCGAGTTCCTGAACCCGCCTGCGCCACTTGCTTTGTAAGCTGCCGAACAGCTTCGCGCGAGCCTCCCGAGCCAAGCGCCGCCGGCCATCCCGCTGCATCTCACGGAAGGAGCCCACGCAGGTGGACAGCAAAGAAAGGCTCTGGACGGTGCCATCCTCTTCCAGAGCAGCTCTTACGATTTCCTTGAGGCTTTTCTCCGAGACTTTCGAGGCGGAGGGCTCTGTCTGAGAGAGCAGCGCCTTGGCCAACAAGAGCGCTTCGGCCTCCTGCAGCCGCCCGTCCCCGTCTTTGTCGAAGGAGCGGAAGAGCGCCGACCGCTTCTCCTCCTCCCGCTTGAAGCCCTGAGACAGGAGGGGCCACGAAGAGATAGAGAGCCCTACATATATATATATATAGAGAGAGAGAGAGAGAGAGAGAGAGAGAGAGAGAGAGATGAGAGTATAGCTGTACTCGAGACGACTCGCGCCTCGCGGCGCCTCATGTCCTTCTCACAGGCCACGGTGGCCTGGACGTAGGCTTCCGAAGTCTGCTGGGCTGCTTGGAGGCGTAGGAGGTAGAGGGGAACCTTGCGCAAGACCTCCGCAGCGTCCGAGTCCTTGAGCTCTTCCTTCAGCTTGGCGTTTGCGGCTGCGAAGTTCCCACACTCCAAGGCTGCATCCTCGACCTTCCGACCTGCAGCTTTCGCGCTTTCTGCCAGCTCCGTGGCTTTCATCAAGCTCTCCACTCGGAGCTCACTGAGCAGCGCGGCTGGGAAAGGCTTAAACTTCTCCACCAACCCCGGAACCAACACCACCGCCGGAGCCGTGGGAGCTGTGGGAGAGGCGGCTGGGGAGGCCTCTCCGGCCGGAGAGGCATCTCCGCCCTCCGCTTTCGTCTCCAGGTGCTCCGCAAGGATGGCGTGCAAGTCCTTCACGGCCCCCTCCGCATCGTCCAAGCGACGAAGGAGCTCCGCCAGAAAGGCCTCACACATCGGGGGCTAATCGAAAACAAAAGAGAAAGCACGGCTAGTCGAAAGGACAACGCTCTTCTCCGCTCTTCGCTCTTCGCGCTTGGCGCTTTTGGACTCAAACCCCGGGGCGCCGGCCTTGGCCTTCTCCTCCTCCTCGCGCTGCTTTCGCTTCGACTCCTTCAAGGTCTCAAGATGCTCGTCGTGAAGTGCTTTAAACTTAAAACACAATTGTGTTGAATTTACAACAACGGTTGAAAATTTAAAACACTTGTTTTAAATGGTTTTTAAATTGAAAACAACTCCTTCAGCGTCTCGCAGCGCTTCTTCGCGGCCTCCAAGCCACAGGTGGCCTCCTCCTTCACGGTCTCCGCCTGGGAACCCAAACTCGAGTCAGCGGCCGCGGTCCTCAGTCCGTGTATATCGAGGACTCTCACACTATGTTAAAAAAGAATCTTTTGAGAAGGATGTCGGTACCAGTGATTCTTCTGGGGCCTGCGCTGCAGCATGTCTTGGAGCTCCTTCTCCAAGGCGTCCAAGGTTTCCGGGGTGGCCATGCGCACTTTCTGAATCTGTCGGCGAATGGCTAGGACGGAGCGCTGCTCCAGGCGCCGCTTCTCAAGCTCTTGCTGGGCCTTCTCTTGCTGTGCCTTCTCCAGCTCCTTTCGCTGCAGAGCCTCAGCCTCCCTCCGTCTCATCTCCTCGGCTTTCCGGGCTTCGATCTTTCTCCTCTCCTCCATCTGTTGCTGTTGCCTCTCTCTCTCGCGCAGCCGCTCCCGCTGCTCCCGCTCACGTTGCTCCCTCTCGCGCTGCTGCGCCTGCTGCGCCTGTTGCGCCTGCTGCGCTCGAATGGCGGCCTGTTGCGCTTCCCAGGGTGACGGGGTAGGGACTGCAGAGACTGCGGGGGTTGGAGTTGGGCTTGCCCAGCTCGCGGTCGCGGGAGGAGGCACCACGGTGGGTGTGGGATTGTAGGCTGCGGCAGGACGGGGGGCAGGACTGGAAGCAGGTCCTGGTGCAGGACCGGGTGCTCCGGGTGCTGGGTAGAGGATGAAGGTGTTGTCCACAGGGCCGTCGTAGGGAACTCGCCAGCCGCTTGCAGGGGGCTCCGGCTCTTTGTCTGGTTGGTAGGCCCAGACCTGGTCGCCGCCCACCTTCGGCCCAAACCACCAGCCCGAGAAGCTGGGGCCGTCCCGCTCATCCTCGGCAGGTTGCTCAGCGCTTTTGCAAAGGCTTTATGAAAACATCGAAACAGTAACAGAAGATCGACGACCGCCAACAGCAGAGAAGAGAGAGAGCACTCAGATTGACTGCACATGTCAGCCAGGGTGCCCAAAAATAGATCATCACGTCCAAGCCATTCCACTGGGACTCTTTCTTGAAGACCGGGTGGCCATGATTCTCTCCCTCCCGAGTGAAGTGCCCACGAACAATCTGGGCCACCGTCTCATGTCTACAGCCTGACACCACCAGCCGATAGGCTCCCGAGCTCTCCGCAGGTGCAGGCGCACTCTGCGTCGGCTGCGCCGGCGCAGCTGCAAAGCCGAAGGCCTGGTAGGCCTGCTGTGCCGGCTGCGCTGGCTGCGCCGGCTGGGCTGGCTGGGCTGGCTGCGCCGGTTGCGCTTGCGGCTGGTACGAAACGGGTGCATAGCTGACGGGATACGCCTGGGCATATCCCGGGTATTGGACTCCATACGCGAAGCTCATGGCTGGGACTATCTCTCGGCCATGCCTGAGCGCATGCTGTGCATGCTCTACGGTCTGAACTGGAAGCAGGGTCCGCGCGGCGTGGGTATTTCTGCAAGGACGGCTTCCGATCGGCATGATATTGACGGCTTCTCTCGCAATGCAAGTAACTACAAATGCTTCTTTACTGCGATGTGACCTGTACACTGTGCATCCCAAGCATAAGAAAACCTTTCTTGCACCGATCGCTCAGCCTTTGACACCGGGAGCTGAAGCAGGACATACTGCACGTCCTGCCAGGCGGCTCCTTCGGAGTCGCCCCGTACCTCCCCCTGTACCTCCACAGCGCTTCACTGAGAGAGTAGAGCGGAATCGGAAAATCTCCAGCGCCGCCGCCTTGTGGCACTCGTGGGCCACCGGATGTTTAGACTGTACATTCAAGGAATGCCAACACCGGCACCCATTCCTCCTGGCGATTCACCACCTGCACATCACGGACTGCTTTGGCCAAGCAGCATACTACATCGCACAGACGAGGCCAAACGCCTTGCAGATGCTCGATCTCAGCTCTTCCGACTTGCGACGATGACTGTGAACTAGTGGATTTTTGTATATCGGATGCGGTGTAAGAGCGGCCTGCACTGTGCTGCTTTTGCTGGACCTTCCGAAAACAAAGCCTTGGGCGATGAGACGGGGCTTGGCGCGAAATCGCAGAAGGCTACAGAAGAGTTCGTTCAGTCAAATTCAACGCTCCGGAATGCAGCGGAGACTGGGTGCTCGATGATCGATGGCGGCAGGAGTCCGACATGTCCAAGAGGGGCCCTAAATCTGCATCGTGCGATCCGGGTTCCTGCGCCAGAGCTTTGCAGGCTTCAAGGCTTGCAGAAAGGGAGAGAGGTATACTTTCCCCCCCTCCATTTTCACTCCGGTGAAACCGCCTCCCCGGCAGTTCTTCTCTGGTGTCAGTCCTCCCCCGCTCTGGATCTTTTGGCTCTCGTCCAGCGTTTTGCGGCTCAGCCAATGCCCTCAGCCTTGAGACTCGCTGCAAGATCCTGCCATGCGTCACAACTCTCTGAGGCGACTCCGAAAACTTCCAATACCAATACCCCGTAAACGCACAATGCAGAAACATATATACATCAATAAAGAAATAAAGAAATATACATACATACATACATACATACATACATACATTTTTAGCACTCGCACTCGACGCGTCAGGCGAGGTAACGGGAGAAGAAAAGGGCTGAGGGCGCGACCAAGTGCTTCACGCACAGAGCCGACTGCCGATCACATGGATCTTTGGCCATGTCCAACTTTGACCAGTCCGTATCACTGGCTTGCAGTACAATCGAGCAAAACGGTCAAAACTTTTCACTGTATGCTGGCATCAACTACACGATCACAGCAAGTTGAACACCCAACACAAGTCGGGCATCCCAGTACCTTCTACAGTTCAGCCTACTCAGGAACCCTGCACAGAGCACCAAACTGTCTTGGCAATCCCAATCAGTGGCCCCCCTATAGGGCTAAACGACTGTGCACGCAGTTCCCCACTCGCATCGGTTTGTGCGCAACACGGTCCAGACTGCGGCCACTGGCATACATACATACATACATACATACATACATACATACATACACATATGTCAAAAAAGATGTACATGTGTATCTGTTTCTACGAATGCAATCTATATGCATTATATATATATATATACACGTACATACATACATACATACATACATACATACACACACCGAAAGCCTCGCAACCTGAAATTAGAGTCGGATTCCTAGACGGGCCCAGTCCTCGGAGTCCTCGCCGTCGGCCTCGAGGTTATCCAAGCGCTCCAGGCGAGCCCGCAAAGCCTCCGTGCGGCGCTTGGCCTCTCAGAGAGACTTCGAAGGCACATGGGGGGTTTCAGGGTCTATGGGGCCACGTTTGAGGGCTGTTTTGTGGGATATTAGAGTGGTTCGACGCTCACACTCGGACAATCGAGGCAGGTGGTCTTAGGTCGGCGAAAGTGGGAATTTATCCGTCAAAAGCTGGAATAGAGGGTTTCGGCGCTCACACTCGGCCAAAATCCGACCCAAAACCCTAAACCCCACTAGAGGGTTGCTTAGGGCCGCTGATGGAGATGAAGGCTCCGCGCCTCATCAAAGTCTGCCTTCAGCCGCGCCTCCTCGCGCCGGTCCTCTTTTCGAGACTTCCTAAAGACACCACTGAACCCTTAACTCCATTACCCTATACAGACCCTGCAGACTCCTGGTCCCTCCCAAAAGCCCATCTTTTCTCAAAGGGGACTCCTCCTACCGCCCTCTCCTCTCTCTCCCGTTCTTGGCACAATCCGGCTCCTCCTTCGTGGCAAAGAGGTACTCGGCCTCTGCCTCGTGACGCTCCCTCCGCAGCTCCGCCAGGCTCGCCTCCGACAGCACCACATAAAAAAAACACCCGTGTTGTACCCTGAAACCTACAGTAGACCAAGGAAAGCCCAAATCGGAAGCCCACCATCAACCCTCCTCTAAACCCCGAAAAGGCCTAAAGCTTGTAACCCTCGACCCCGGCCGCAGAGATTCTGAAGTCTATAGAACCTTTGATGTGGAGACCACTCTTTACCTGAAACCGGGCCGAGGCGGACGACGCACTTTATAAGTCCGACAGACAGGGTCGTCCGACACACAGGGTCGTCGTCGTCGTAGTAGCTTTGGCTCCCGCATGACAGTGTTGTAGTAGTAGTAGTAGTGGTAGTAGTAGTGGTAGTAGTAGTAGTAGTAGCAGTAGTAGTAGTAGTAGTAGTAGTAGTAGTAGTCTTAGTACTAGTAGTCTTAGTACTATAGTAGTCGTCGTAGTAGTACGCTCTTGGGCTATGCAAATCGCCTGCCAAGCTTCCAGCAGCTGCTCTTGAGCCTGTCGCGGCAATGGATGGAAATCTGGGTTCCAATCCACCATAATAATTCCATAATAAGGAAACAGTCTTTTTCTATAAATCCCAAGATTTGGTACTTTAAAGCCTTAGCGTAAGTTGCTTGGCAAGGGAAGATCGCCGAAACCTGTTCAGAGACTAAGCGTCAGCGTCAATAGATCGACAAAAGCGGGCGTTTGGCTCCAAAATCTTCAACCTTAAAATCCCGAGCCATCAGAACCCCGCAGCAAAAAGAAAGAGCGGCGCAATCCGAAGCAAACTTAGAGCCGATTAGCACCTCAAGCTCGTCGCGCAAGGCTGCTCGCGCCCGGCGCTGAGCCTCCTATAACGACAAAGGCAGAGATTTCAGCTGGCAGCGAAATTCACATCTTCTGCTTTTTATTGGAGACGGGGAAAAGGATCGCAGCTTGCGGAGGAGCCGTCAACTGGGTAGTAGAATCCTTCTTGTCCAAGGCAGCGATGTCAAGCTCAATCATGCGAATCTCCGCCTGGCTGGTGCTTCTACACCCTAAACCCCTACAAGGCCCTGAACGTTGTGGTTCCGCAGCAGGCTGGCAGGGCTGGCCTCCAGTTGAAGCTCTTCGGCATTCTGCTCCGCGGAGTCCTCCATGGCACCTGGAGGAGAATCCTCCTCAAAACCTGGCAGAAAACACTCTCCCAAGATCCTGAGAGCTTCACAGCCTCAAAAGCACACCCTCAAAGCCAGAGAACCTCTTCTTGAGTCCTGAGTCCCACTTCTTTACCAAACACACCCGCCAAAAGAAACACAAAACCACCCAAAACCATTGGGCTGACGGGTCAAAGCAACAAGGATCAAACAAATAAAAAAAGCGCAGCGGATCGATAAAAAAGGGAAGAAGGGATCCTTGGACGCACTGGTATTTACATACATATACATATATATGTATATATATATATATAAACATATGAACTCCTTTCGGGCACTGTGCAGCTTGCATTGAGAAGCACTTGCCTCCCGAAGCTGTGTTTCTTTGCCACCGGGGCCGAGCAGGTGCCGTTCTGCGGCACTCCGCCCCTTTGCGCCCGAGCCGAAATGCAACGGACGGGGCTTGACTCGCTGACTCTCCAACAAATTCGGCGGCTCGGGGTTGTAGGGAGTTCCAAGGGGATTGAGACACGGAAGTGCATCGCAGGTGTAAGATGATACTCACTTAGTCCGTTTCTCCAGAACTTTACCCAAGGAATCGGCCACCGGTTGAACAATCTCCTCTTTGCTTACCGTCCTGATCCAGTGACATTCCGCATGCCAAAGCAGAAAGAGTCCCGGTTTTTAGTCAAGGACTTCAGCGCTCTGGGTGTCGGTGTCGGGCTCCGTCTTGGAGCGTAACACGTCGAGGGTCTGGAAAAGATTGGAAAAGGCTGTCAGATCCGGCATCGGCACGGTCGGCACTTGATCCTCATCCTCTCACTTCTCCTCCAGAGGTGAAGAGTTTTGCGTTTTGATCTCATCATCCCAAAAACGGAGCCCGTCGGCGGACTTAACGCGGGGGCGCCTGCGTGAGCAGGTCCCCGGCCGTCAGCAAGGCTCGGTTCCTCTTCTCCCGGAGCCTCGGAAGCGCTGCCCGAAGCGAGGCGTGCGAAGGGAGCCGGGACGCTGCGAGGTCGCTGGCCTTGCGGGCTGCCTGGAGGAGGTGGACCTGATTCAGAGAGCTGTCACCTACGTCGGGTCAAGCAAGGCTCTTGCAAGCCTCATTTTCATAAACCTCATGCCTCCCGACTCCAAGCTGCACTCGGCTGGACTCCGAAATCTATCGAGAGATGAATGTGGATGTGGGATCGCCGACTGCAAGGGTGCACCAGTCGTGTTCTCAAGTAGTAGTGTCATCAGAAAAAAAACACAGACAGTCGGGACCTCGGCCCCTCCAAAAACCCTCAGAAGAGACCAACAGCCCGCTCTCTGAGCCCAGCCCCCTTCCTGGGCACCCGCGCCGCTCCTTCGGGGCGGCCTTCGCTCAAGAAGCAGCAGCAGCAGATGGGAAGGAGGCCAAACGCAGCAGGAGGGACTCTTTTTTTTGGGGCGCCTGACCTTGAGTGCGGCCGGGAGGTGTTTCTGCACAGCTTCCTGAGCGAACGTGCACCGCATGGTCTCAGGTGCCATCATTACGAAAATCATCGGGGGGCGGTTCTTCTGAACTGACTCCCCGCACACACGTCTGCGCGTGCGCCCTGCCTGCAGCTTCGTTTGAAGACGACCTCAGCCGAGCTTACCCTTTGACCTTCGCGGATGGCCATGGGCCTGGCGTAGGGGCCCCCGGGACCGAGCTCGGCGCCGGTGTCCACGTCGCCGCGCCAGGTGCCCTCGGCCGTCCCTGCCTCCAGCTCTACCGCCTCGAGACTCGATCCGAACGCAACATTCGCCCAACAAAAGCCGATTCGGGAATGATGCAAAAAAGCCAAGGGGCCATGAAAACGCGAAATTGCACAGACAGAAATACTCTCTCCTCTCTGTCTCTCCCCCTTCCCCTCCTCTCTGTCTCTCTCGCCATCATTCCCTGTCCGCGCCCATTGATTCACCGTGTCCTCCTTTGCCAAGGCGCCGAGTTGACAGAATGCAGAACCGCGTCAATCCATGTCCTGGGGTACTCTGCGATGCCCAGAAGCCACGCGCGCACGGAAGCAGAGCGCATCTTCTCTGCCAGGCTTCTCCAAGCCACGCGCTCCCGCATGGAGCTTCAGCAGCTTTTGCTTCCAGGTCTCGCAAATGCTCCTCGGGAGCTTTTGAAGCTCTGAAGTGCTACCTTCCATCCCTGTCCATGTAAGCCTAGAAAATGAATGGCCCAGAAGGGACACACATTTCTTCTTTTGCAGGTACGCAGACAAACAAATGAGCATGCTATCAGGACACAACTACACGCACATGCGCACTCACACGCTCACACAAACAACAACTTTGGCCTTCTTGCCACAGGCGTGGCTATTGTGCTCTTTTCATCTCTCCCTTGCCTGCTTGCTTGGAGATTGCCCCCGGAAGGCCCCTTCCTCTCTCTCTCTCGCTTCCACAGGGCACAGGGGGTGTGCGAAACCTCCTGGCCGCAAGGGCCCCCCAATGTTTGGGCTTGCTGGCCCGGGCTGAGAAAGTATGGATCGGTTCGTTGCCCACAGACCCTTTCTTTCGGCAGGGCTAGGGGCAGGGAGGTTTCCCCCTTGCCCGCGCGCCGTTGGCGCCCCCCACTGTTGCGGAGGGGCTTGATTGAAAACCACGACAACGAGGCAAGTGTTGCCTATGCCGTGGATTAACAACAACACACTATGAAGGCATTATCTGCCTATAGGAAGGGCCTGATGGGGCATGCTCTCTCCCGAAAAGCAAACTAGCATGACCACGGATCAACAATAAGCACAACTGGGGCCCACAGACCCTCACTCTCTCTCTCTCTCTCTCTCTCTCTCTGTCTTGTTTGTGTGGGCCTGGCGGTAAATGCACATGGTCGCGCTCTTGCGATGCTGTGACACATCTAGGGCAGCCCAGTGGCACCACTTCTGGTTGGAAGTCGGCGCCTGCGGGGCCCACAGCGCCGCCAGCGAGTCGTGGCGGTTAGAATGATAGAATGGATGGAGAGGTGGATAGCGGGGGCAGGTGGGTGGACAGATCTTCTATGTATATTTGTGAGAATGAGAGGCCCCTCATGGCATGAGAGCTATGAGCACCACCGTGGCCTGGCCGCGCCCAGGCGTTTTCGAAGAGGTCGGCGAGCTCTTTGAGCAGCTTATCCTCAACCTCAACCCCTTTTCCCGCTTCTTCCGAAGGTGCCGAACGCCGCGGTGAGAGGAGGCGGCTTGGTGGGGTCGTGCCAGTAAAAAGACCCCCCTAAGGCTCTAGGGGAAATCCCAAGCGCACTCGGCAGATTTTGTTTAGGGCGGAGGATGGGGAGGAGGAGAAGCTTTCTCGCCCGAGTTGGAACTATCTGGTCCCAAACGGGTGGGGGTCCGCGAGGGGATGGAGGGTCTAGGACTCCGCAGGGTTCAGTGCTGGCAACATGGGTTTATAGGGTTCACACAAGATTTTCTAGATCAGACATCAAGGGCTGTGTGGGTTGCTGCGACAGAGTGGCAAGTTCTGGTTGCGGCGATGGCTTTCCGTTAGGATCTGGAGGAACCTCGCAGAGCGGCTGAAAGGGTTCACAAGGGGGTTTGAGAACTTCGAGGTGCCGTACCTAGTTCGGGGTACTCGAACTAGTCAAACTACTGGTTGCAGGTTTTGGGAGTCTGCGAGGAGGATTACCCTGTGTTCTGCAACTCAGAGAAAGGCAGCGAATCAGTCATCACCAATCGGACTTCTCAAAAATCCCCGAGTGTCAAGGCATTATAATCATGCCCTTTGGCACCCGGGAGTCTCATGAGCATGCCCCGGGCACCATTTCTCGTTTCCTTTTCGGCCCGGAGGTGCTGGACAAAAACGGCCAGAAGTCCGACAAATCCGAGGCAACACACGCCCAGAAATCTTGCAGGCTTTGGTGCGAACAAGCTAAGGGCACAAACACTGAAGCCGAAGGTGGGCTCGACACAACTATCCCGGAGCGATCTTCACGCCTCGACTAGCTTGACCTGAAACTTTACTCCCTTTGGAAAGTTATAACTGTTGGCTTTAGCCGCTAGCTGTTGTACTAGGTCACTAGGCTTTCAGATTTTGGATGAGTTGTGCAGTGAGCCTTCTGGGCCATGCAAAAGATCATGATTCTGGGCATTCGCACTCGACAGGGTGACAATTAGGCTGTTCTGTCCTCCTGACACAGGGTTGAACGAAGGCAGAAGAATCATGTCAGTAATGGTCAATCGACTGACCAAACGAGGCCTTTCCTTCAAATACGGAAAGGCACTCATTCCGAACTGCAAGTGCAAACAGCCTAGTGCCAAGATCTTGAGATTAGACATGATGATATCGGCGCGATGCCTGGTCGGAGAACTGCACTCAGTAACCAGCTCTCGCAAGGAAGCGGTCGTGCATAATAAGACCCAAACAAGTCATGTTTGTGGATGAATGCACTTTACTTCAGAATTCGGCTTTGATGGGCGCGGAAGAAGGGGAAGATAGCAGGTGCAATCGGCCTTGCCATCCTTCGCGCCGACCTCGCCCACGTGCTCCTGGGATCGCAGAAGCAGAACTGCACACAGCACACATGAGCACCTGCGATGGCCCTATTTTTCTGTCAGGCCTCGACTGGCACCCGGGGATCTCCGACTCGCTTTCCGGAGCTTTCTGCCTGCGCCAAAGAAGCCTCGGCCTGGGACTTGGCCAAGTCGTCTCCGCCAGCGTCTGCGCGTCCTGATCGGGCCGAGGCCGAGAGACCGCAAGGAGAGCGGCTCTTCGAAGAAACCCTGGATTTAGGGTAAGGAAGAAGTCCTTGGAGCTTCGAAGCCGAGATGCCCTGGTTTTCAGTGAGGAGTTGCCTGAGTTCTCTCCGAAACTCTGGGGGCGAAAGACTCGGCTTACGTCCCATTCCGAGGTGCCAATGCTCCATGACCTGAGCCCGCATAAGGTCGGCGTCCTCGAAGCGGTGATCGGAAAGTGTTCGTTCAGGTTGCCTTCGCCATACTGCAATACTCATCTTCTGCAAAGCAGCGCTGTTCTCCAGGCCACCCTGGAGATCCGCACAGTCGAAGAGGGCCTGGAAGCTGGGCAAAAAGCCTCTTTCGTACTGCGGTTGCTGTTTCTTCGTTCTGATGGAGTCTTCTCTTGCTCTTGCCAAGGATAGCTTCTCCTCCGTCGCGTCTCTAAAAGAGGTCTTCTTCTTCCGTTCCCGCCCGTTCAATGCAGAGGCCCTCGTTGGAAGCCTCGAGTCCTTCAGCCGAAAATCCGAAGAAAGGCCAGGGAGGGCGCCTGAACAAACGTAGCCATGTCCTCAGCGTGGGTCTCACCTGTCCAGCGAAGCGGCGATTTCGGATCCCAGGCCCCCAAAACCCCGGAAAAAGGACCGAAGTTGCACAGCTCCACATCGATAAACAACGTCAGCTCTCGGAATACACAGTTCCACATTGCGCACAAATAACTGACATCTTTCCGGTTCAATAATTCCATCACGTCACATTCGCTTTTCATGGCTCGGACCATGTGCAGGTTCACAGCCCCTCGTATACTCTTGTTATCACTTCCAGAAACGTCTCAAAGTGAGAGACATAGAAGCAAGCATCATTCCACAAGCAACAGAAACATGTCCTTTCAGTGGGAGACCAAGCCGGAGCTCTGAGCTTTCTTCGGGAGGTCTTCCCACATTTGCAGGTCTCGCGTTGGTCTCCAATTGGAACGGTTCCTTCTCTGCGAGCTTGAATATCCCCCCAAAACAGACTTTCCGGGCATCCGTATTAGATTATAAGTGGGGGTCTTCTTCTGCAAGTTTTGTGAATTTGTGAACCCTCCGTGTTGAACCCGAACCCATT